TTATTATAAGAGAAAATGGAGTGTTTTTGAGGCTAACTGCACTAGATCACTAGTTTCATGAGGAAAACATTGAAACAAAAGCAACCCCCCCCCTCCTCCCCCGAGCCAGGAGATCAGCCTACGTTTTGGGCAAATATCTCTGAAGTAAATCAGTATAAATGCCTTGTCCCTAAACACCCCAAAATTCTAGCAGCTTCAAATATTGCAGGAGAAAACTGGTAGACCTACATGTGAGAGAATGGATCTGCATGGTAAGCGTGTGCAGTATAAAACAAAATCCTGCGGCATGCAGTGCATAATGAGAAAGAAAACTCTGACTGTGTTTTTGGTCTAAAACGCCAAATTTGAGGTGTATTTTCGTATAGTATTTATGGTTGTATTCTCTCTTTCTTGGTCTCATTTGATAGAATGAAAGATATATTACAGAAATAGAGAAATGTATCTTGAAATTGAGCTCAAAGTAGTGGAAATGTTCAATTTTTGCCAATGTTCAAGAGTAAACATTGGCAAAACTGGCCAGTCTAATACGCAGTCACGAATGGGTTGACATTATTAATACAATTATTACAATAATGCAGTAGTCTGCATAACAGTAAATCTTATATTGTTTGTGTGAATTAAAATTCAGACTGGAAAGCAAGAGCAATATAAGAGGGGCCTCTAGACATTACAGTGGACCCCTGGCATTCGATGGCATCGGTATACGTTAAATCCGGTATTCAATACATTTTAATGCAAAAATTTTGCCTCGCCACTCGTTAAAAAACCCGCCACATGCGATTTGTCTGGGACGCATCCATGTGAGTGCCAGTGTTTACAAGCCAGCCAGTGTGCTCGCATCTAAGCATACATTTGGTACATTCCATATTATCACAGTGTTTTTGCTGCTTGTTTCTGCAAAATAAGTCACCATGGGCCCCAAGAAAGCTTCTAGTGCCAACCCTGTGGTAAAAAGGGTGAGAATTATTATGGAAATTAAGAAAGATTTTGAAGGGTTTGGGGCTAACCCTGAGAAGCCTATGCCAGTTGTGGAATCCATTGTGCCTACTTCAAAAATTAAGGAAATGTGTGCAAAGTGGGTTGAACTGCAAACCTTTATGGATGAAAATCACCCTAACACAGCTATTGCAAGCCGTGCTGGTGACTATTACAATGACAATGTTATGGCCCATTTTAGACAAATCGTAAAGGAACGGGAGGTACAGAGCTCTATGGACAGATTTGTTGTGCAACAGAGGTCCAGTGACTCTCAAGCTGGTCCTAGTGGCATTAAAAGAAGAAGGGAAGTAACCCCAGAAAAGGACTTGCTACCTCAAGTCCTAATGGAAGGGGATTCCCCTTCTAAACAATAAGTTCGACACTCTCCCCTCCTCCCATCCCATCAATCATCACCAGATCTTCATTAACCCTTTCAGGGTCCAAACCGTAGATCTATGTCATGAGCTCAGCTCACTCTGATAAACTGTGAGTGGTACATTTGGGCCTAGATATGAGAGAATACATCTATGTGGTATGTGTGCACCACATAAAACCGATCCTGCAGCACACTGTGTATAATGAGAGAAAAAACCTGAAATCATGATTTTTCGATTAAAATAGCGACTTTGCAGTGTTTTTTCGTATGTTTTTTATAGTTGTATTTGCGATTTCTTGGTCTCAATTGATAGAATGGAAGACATATTACAGAAATAGAGATGATTTTGATTGGTTTTAGCACTGGAAATGGCTTGAAACTGAGCTCAAAGTAGCAGAAATGTTAAATTTTTGCCGATATTCAAGAGTAAACAACGACTCACACGTCTAATACACGCCAGCTGGTGGGTCTAATATGCATTCACAAATATGGTGATGATATTTATACAATTATTACAGTATTGCATAACAGTAAATCTTCAATTTTTTGTGTGAATAAAAATTCATTATGTGAATAAAAAATCAAAATGGAATTTATTTGTAAAGTCTCAAAACATAACTAATGAACAGAGGAAATGTTAGTTTAGTTCCAGGAATACCTACATTGTTTATTCTGGACCCTATTTTGAAATTGGAATATTTTGAACTTTGTGTTAAATTGGCCAAATTAACAATTTCCAATCACTTTAATTTGTAGTTGAAACAGTTGACTTGCTGATTTCTTGTGCTCAATCGATAGAATAGAAGTAATACTAGTGAAATAGCTAAGAATTTGGTTTACTGGAATAATGTAATTGGCCTAAAATGGGAGTCAAAGTCGGCAAAATCGCCGATTCGTAAATATCGCTGACACATCAAAATTCGCGAGAGCATAATTTCATCAATTTTCTATCAAATTTCGTACTTTTTGTTTTATTACCTTCACAAAAAGATTCTTTACCATTTCATAAGAAAAAATAACAAATTTTTTTTTTTGAAAATTCTTGGACACTGGGGCACCACTTCAGATTTGGGCCTTGGACCCTGAAAGGGTTAAAGGTAAGTGTCATGTATTCTATTGTTAGTAGAGTACTACTAACTGTGCATGTCTTCTTCAGTTTGTGTGCATTAAACTTAATATTTCATGTGGTAAAACTTTTTTTTTTTTTCATAGTACTTTTGGGTGTCTTGCACGGATTAATTTTATTTCCATTATTTCGTATGGGGAAAATTAATTCGCCTTCCGATAATTTTGGCATATGATGAGCTCTCAGGCACGGATTAATATCGTATACCGGGGATCCACTGTACTAATGAACAGAGAAAATGTTATTTTAGTGCCAGGAATGTCTGCATTGTTTACTCTGGACCCTATTTTGAAATTGTCATTTTTTGAAATTTGTGTGAAATTGGCCAAATTGCCAATTTCTGACCACTTTATTGGGTAGTTGTAATCGGTAAATGGGCAATTTCTTGTACGTGGTCGATAAAATAAATGGAGTTCTAGTAAAATAGCTTTGAGTTTGGTCAACTGGGACAGTGGAATTGGCCGAAAATAGGATTCAAAGTGGGTGAAATCACCGTTGCATATACAGTAGGGCCCCACTGATATGGCAGGTTAGGTTCCAGGCTAGCGCTGTAAAGCGGAAATCGCCATAAAGTGTAACATCCCTTTTTTTCCACATATAAATACACCTACCATCTGACTTACGACCTGCTCGACATACGTCCACTCGACTTACGACCGTACATCTGGCAGCTGGGTTGGGCCGGCTGATACCACCATACAATATTTGACAATACTCGCGGCATCTATGCGCCATGCAGGCAGCATCAGTTTGAGTTACCCTGCCCTATCAGCAGCATCATACTGTATTAACTGTACTAACTTGACAGTAAATTTCACCATGGTCCCTAAGAGGAAGTCTGAATTTTGCACTGGAGATTGTGGCAAGAAGGCAAAGGCTCTTGCTCTTGAATTCTCTCTGTTTTCACTGTTGCACATAAATCTGTCTGTATCTGTCTGCCTGTATATCTGTCTTTGTCATCCTGTGTGTGTCAGTCTACCTGTGTGTCTGTCTTTCTGTCTGCTTGTCTCTGTCCCAGAGAGCCGCTCATGAACCAACAGGTATTACACACGAAGCAGAGTTGTCACATCTTCAGTATGATGCTAGTATCGCTATATAGCTTATTTATGTATCACAATTCATCTAATATGACATAATAAACAATACAGTGGAACCTCTACTTGCGAGCGTTTCCACGTGCGAGTTTTTCTAAATATGAGCAGTGTATGGGTCGTTTTTTCGCTTCCATTCGTGAGCAAAATTTCCATAAGCGAGCAGACCTCAAGGCAGGTTCCTTCACACTGGTGAGGAGCTCTTGCTCTCGGGAATTGTATCTCATTTGTTTGTTGGACTATCTTATTGAAACTTAACATACACCAAAAAATAAAAGAAATCTAAGCGTAAATAATGGAGTTCACTTCTCAGCAATTAGTCACCCCTTAGTGGTATTTTCATATGGTTTTTATTGTTGTATTCTCGTTTTTTTTTATCTCAGTTGATAGAAATAGATATAATTTTGATTGCTTTCACGATGAGAAGTACCTTGAAATTGAGCTCAAAGTAGGAGAAATGGTCTATTGCTTGGTTGTGTTTCAGAGTAAACAAGTGTAAGAGAAATAATAGTATTTCTTACCTTAAATTGTGGGTGCTGGTGTTTATGGATTATTGTGAAGAGAGTGGAGAGTTATGTTGTGGTCCTACTGGGCTGAGGTGGATGGTAGAGGTACTGGTACTGAAGTTGATGGTTGTACTGGAGTGTCTAACTTTGTCATTCAATCATGTGATTCAGTAAATCAGTCAAGTGATTCAGTAAGTCAGTCAAGTGATTCAGTAAGTCAGTCAAGTGATTCAGTAAGTCAGTAAAGTTGTTTAGTAAGTCAGTCAAGTGATTCAGTAAGTCAGTCAAGTGATTCAGTAAGTCTCAAGTGATTCAGTAAGTCAGTCAAGTGATTCAGTAAGTCAGTCAAGTAATTCAGTAAGTCAGTCAAGTGATTCAGTAAGTCTCAAGTGATTCAGTAAGTCAGTCATTCAGTCAGTCAGTCAAACTCATGCTAAATGACAGTCTACTGTACATTTTATTCATTTTAGAGTAGATATCAGGTTTCTATGTTATTTAATTGTTTATTATGTCATATTAGATGTAGTGAGATAGATAAATACGCCGTAGAGTTGATATTAGCGAAATTATTGAAGTAAAGAATTCCACTGGAACAGATTAATTGCATTTCAATTAATTTAAGTGAGGAAAATTGACTTTGCAAATGAGCAAATCCAGTTGCGAGCAAGGTCTTGGAACAGATTAAATTCGCAAGTAGAGATTCCACTGTATAAGTAACATAAAAACCTGATATACACTCTAGAATGAATAAAATATGAACTTAACTATTTTAAGCTCCACATCTTGCACCTGTGCTTCATTTCAAATTCCGAAATATAATGTTAGATCAAGTATGGTGTTTTTCATTTGGATTTTATGGCTCTTCTGTATCTGATTGCCATTTACCTGTTAATGCTTACTAATTGTTTTCATTATTATTTCAGCCAAACTGCTATGCAAAAATTATTTCAGTAGAAACTCAAAGAAGATTGTAATTTATTCTAAACAACCTATTGCCTGTGGCGAAGAAATTACTTATGATTATAAGTTCCCAATTGAAGAAGAGAAGATTGTGTGTTTGTGTGGTGCTGCTCAATGTAAGGGAACACTTAATTAAGGAAAACTAAGAAGGTATGGTAGAAAAACATAACAGTACTCCCATTAGTGCATCATCTCAAACTGGGCTGCAAGAACCGGTGATACAAAAATAAGTAATTTGTTTGACAATTAACCCTTAAACTGTCCAAACGTAGATCTACATTTTTTCAACATTTGAAAGTATGTAAAAAAAGTAGATCATCTTTTTTTTTTTTTTTTTACATTTGAAAACGTGTAAAAAAAACTTTGAACTACTTTATTTATATATATATATAATATATATATATATATATATATATTATATATATATATATAAAATATATATTTTTTTATTTTTTTTTTTTTTTTTTTTTTTTGAAATGTGTAAAAAAACGTTAGATCTATTTTGGAGCAAATACACATGTGAACATAGAATTCTGCTTGTACATTTAAGGGTTTTAAATATTTTAAAAATTTTGACATTCACAATAATATTCTTTAAAGATTATAATTCTTGCAGTTTCTGATGATCTTTGGTAAAAAATTTCTTTTCTGCATCCTCACTTGTTCTTCATATCATGTCTAATGAAGTGAATTTTGTGGTATTTATAAATAAATTATAATTAACTGTATAAATGAGCTTGAAGGTCATTTATTAAATAAGACCTTATTTTTATTAACAGAAATGAATAATTTTTACTGTTTCTGTGTTATTAATTCATATTCAGAGGTTTACTTATAAAAACAAATTACAGTCTACATTATATATATACATACACATTTTGTATTCTCAGTAAGACTGTTATTATAACAACTCTTAACCTTTTTCTTACCATCATACAGGCTGCTGTGAGTCATGTATAATTTAAAGTATTGTAATTAAACTTTGATGATTTTAACTTAGAAATAAATTATACTATTTTTTGTATGTTAAAGCTTTAGATGGAAATAGTCTCATTGGATAATATTATTATCACCCATTGCATCATATTCTTATGTCTTTACTCCTAGTTAATATTAATTAACAAAGTAAAATAGCAATTGGTGTAAACTACTACTACTTCATTGATATTTTGTAAGGAAAGAGACATATGGCTGTAAACTTTATTGACCTCCTACATTATATTAGTTAATAGGGAAGGTTACATGTTTAGTTATGACTAAGCAGTGAATATCTTTGTATGAAAATCTGGTATGGCTTAATAATTATGGTTCTTTCAAACTGTAGGGAATCACTGTTATGTGGCCTGTTCATAGTTTTTTGGTGAAACATTAGCTAATTTCAGCAAGGCATGTGACAGTTTTAAATCTTCAGTTTTGTATTTCCATCATACCATTTTTTTATGCAATGCTCAAGTAATCTGAAGTGAATTGGAAACTATAATTTTAATGCATCAAAGCTTGTAGATATATTTTGATAATACAGCAGAAATGAGATTTCTTAATACCTACTCATTTCCTGTGAGGTAAACACACGTGATACACTTAATACATTTTATTGAAGGAATGTTTCACAGAACCTGTGGGATATGAACCCATGGCAAGCCAGTGTTGAAACTAGCAGACCAGTTCCACCAGCTGCTTACAATTGTCTTTTTACAATTTTATGAGTCATTGGTAAAAGCATTGAAGTGACTTGAACTAGACCTTGCGTGCCACACTGATGTTGTGAGTCATATGCAAAAACCTGCATTATGGTCACACGGGAAGCTTATGTTAAACTTCCTAGGGTATAAAAATGTACATAGGTGAATTCATCTTATTAGGCTAACATGGTACAGTGGCTATCAAACTAACCTGCTAGTTTTAGGACTGGATTACCATGAGTTTGCATCTCACACATTCCACGGTTGCTTATGATTTAGTGAGTCATTAAGGTAACGTTCTGTGCACTCGGGGTTTTGATGAAGTTGAGTTTCCTTAATAAAATGTTGTAAGTGTTGCATGTGTGTCTTTACTTCAGTCTGTCAGTGCTAATTTACCAAGTACAGTACTAGTAGTAACTCCTCTCCTTATAAATTTTTAAGACATGGGCATAATTCTTTTCTTAATGAATAAGGGATGAATTTTGTTTATTTGATCTATGCACAGTAAGTTGCTAAGAATTTATCTCTTGTCATATCTTGGCAATTGCAAACATGGTATCAGTTAAAATTTAAAATTCTTGACATTAAGGTATATAAAAATTGATGTGATTCATGTAAAAATACAAATTAATAGCCTGAAATATTTTATACTTGTTGAAAATGAAAGAATGAATATATTCAGCAAGATGTTCAATGTACTAAAAGTATTTGCTTTACATTGCAAAGAAAGATAGTTGGTTTAAAGAACAGACAAAGTGGTCTCTTCAGTATGATCACAGGAAACTTTTGTACTCTCATTACTATCATCAACAAATAGTGGTCATGGAGGATAGAGGATCATTTATCTCTTTAAATTTTTGAAATCTTAAATTAATTTTTTATCAAAAAACTTTAACAAAAATATATTTATTTTTGTACTATTCTGAGTTTATTACAGCCTGATCAATAGAGCTTAAAAGCTCTTGGCCTGTTTTAATTATTTTTATTATATATTTTCAATAGATTTAAATACTTAATTCCACATAGTTAAAAAAAAATGATTTTTGTTGCGGATAATATAAATCTTTTAATCTGAATAGTTTTAATTATATTTATATTTGTTCTGCACTTGTAATGTGTTATGGTGCAAGAAAAGTCTCCATAATTTCTAATTGCTCTCATTTCCACAATAGCAAGTGCCTAAGACATAATAGTAGTTACAGAAAAAATCACAGTACCATTGCTGAAACAATTAGCATACAATGTGGACTTTGGTAAGCAACAGTAGTTGCTGTCATCATCGCCATGACTGTTAAGTATAAAAGTCATATTACCATAGGTAGAACAAGCAACAAACAACCTGCATTTTGGAGAGCAGCAGTTGTTATTGTCTTCATAACTCAACTATTTAAGACATTAGCACAGTACCTAAAATCCTCATAGATTAGACACCAGTTATTTATTTAACATGAATTACATAAAGTAGAATGTATTGGTAAAATGTTATATTTTCCTTAGTCTTCCAAACCTATCTACTAGCCCCTAAATACTATATAGGGAGAAACACGATAAAATTATTGTTTATCATAGCTATAAAGCTACAAAGCATTGATTTCAAAATTACTGTAATTAGCTGCAGTAGTTTTGGTCTGCTTTTTCTTTTTTTTTCCCCCCAAAACTTTGAATTTTTTTTTTTTTTTTTTTTTAACAAGTCGGCCATCTCCCACTGAGGCAGGGTGACCCAAAAAGAAAGAAAAAATCCCCAAAAAGAAAATACTTTCATCATCATTCAACTCTTTCACCTCACTCACACATAATCACTGTTTTTGCAGAGGTGCTCAGAACACAACAGTTTAGAAGCATATACATATAAAGATACACAACATATCCCTCCAAACTATCAATATCCCGAACCCCTCCTTTAGAGTGCAGGCATTGTACTTCCCATTTCCAGGACTCAAGTCCGGCTATATAAAAATAACCAGTTACCCTGAATCCCTTCACTAAATATTACCCTGCTCACACTCAACAGATCATCAGGTCCCAAATACCATTTGTCTCCATTCACTCCTATCAAACACGCTCACGCACGCCTGCTGGAAGTCCAAGCCCCTCGCCCACTAAACCTCCCTTACCCCTTCCTTCCAACCTTTTCGAGGACGACCCCTACCCCGCCTTCCTTCCCCTACAGATTTAAATGCTCTCCATGTCATTCTACTTTGATCCATTCTCTCTAAATGACCAAACCACCTCAACAACCCCTCTTCACCCCTCTGACTAATACTTTTATTAACTCCACACCTTCTCCTAATTTCCACACTCCGAATTTTCTGCATAATATTTACACCACACATTGCCCTTAGACAGGACATCTCCACTGCCTCCAACCGCCTCCTTGCTGCTGCATTCACAACCCAAGCAAGCTTCACACCCATATAAGAGTGTTGGTACTACTATACTTTCATACATTCTCTTCTTTGCCTCCATAGATAATGTTTTACTCTCTTCTATGTCCACTTTCTATTTTTTTTTTTTTTTTTTTTTTTTTTCACACAGGGTTTGACAAGGTTAAGGATCCCTAGCTTTATTGACAAGCTATTTACAGGTTAAGGATTCCTAACTTTATTGGCAAGCTAAGAGCTGTTACCTACATCAGCTCATTTGAAAGCATTTTTATTGTTATGAGACATAGAGAAGAGAGAAGAGACCTTGAGAAGAGAGGAATGCAGAGGAGAGAGATTTTGGGAGATGTTAAGTGAATGTATAGGAGCCTTTGAACCAAGTGAGAGAGTAATTGTGGTAGGGGACCTGAATGCTAAAGTAGGAGAAACTTTTAGAGAGGGTGTGGTAGGTAAGTTTGGGGTGCCAGGTGTAAATGATAATGGGAGCCCTTTGATTGAACTTTGTATAGAAAGGGGTTTAGTTATAGGTAATACATATTTTAAGAAAAAGAGGATAAATAAGTATACAAGATATGATGTAGGGCGAAATGACAGTAGTTTGTTGGATTATGTATTGGTAGATAAAAGACTGTTGGGTAGACTTCAGGATGTACATGTTTATAGAGGGGCCACAGATATATCAGATCACTTTCTAGTTGTAGCTACACTGAGAGTAAAAGGTAGATGGGATACAAGGAGAATAGAAGCATCAGGGAAGAGAGAGGTGAAGGTTTATAAACTAAAAGAGGAGGCAGTTAGGGAAAGATATAAACAGCTATTGGAGGATAGATGGGCTAATGAGAGCATAGGCAATGGGGTCGAAGAGGTATGGGGTAGGTTTAAAAATGTAGTGTTAGAGTGTTCAGCAGATGTTTGTGGTTACAGGAAAGTGGGTGCGGGAGGGAAGAGGAGCGATTGGTGGAATGATGATGTAAAGAGAGTAGTAAGGGAGAAAAAGTTAGCATATGAGAAGTTTTTACAAAGTAGAAGTGATGCAAGGAGGGAAGAGTATATGGAGAAAAAGAGAGAGGTTAAGAGAGTGGTGAAGCAATGTAAAAAGAGAGCAAATGAGAGAGTGGGTGAGATGTTATCAACAAATTTTGTTGAAAATAAGAAAAAGTTTTGGAGTGAGATTAACAAGTTAAGGAAGCCTAGAGAACAAATGGATTTGTCAGTTAAAAATAGGAGAGGAGAGTTA